CCTTTTCTGCTTGTCTCAGACATATACTAGTTATTGCAAATAAGGGAAACCATGGGACCTATGTTTCTTTGGGCCTGGCTTACTTCACTTAATAATTAACATAACCAAAGATGAAGTGAAGGACCTCTATGATGAAAACTATAAACTTATTTTGAAAGAGTATTTTTAGCAGAATTTCAAAAACCTTGGGAAGACAAGGAATCATCAAAACCGATCAGTTTTAGCTTTATTCATTTGTATGAATTGGCTAAACATCCAACTCAAGAAACACAGGCAACACTAACATAAGAACTGGGCTATTAATTCATCAAGGCTGAAAAGCTGAGATAAAGTTTGTCTTTAATTTCTAACTAATACTCCTTTGTCTTTTTGTGTGTGTGTGTGTGTGTGTGTTGTTACTGGAGCTTGAACTGAGGACCTTACACTTTCACTTGCCTTTTTTGTATAAGGCTGGTGTTCTACTACTTGACCCACACCTGGGTTTTTGCTGGAAATAACAGTCTCTTGGACTTTTCTGCCTGAGCTGGCTTCCAGCCATGCTCCTCAGATCTTAGCCTCCTGAGAAGCTGGGATTCCAGGCATGAACCTCTAGCACCTAGCATTTGTCTTTTAATTCTAAGTTTGATTTTTGTATAAATGATCGGAAAGTCATCCTGTTGGCATGCACCAAAGTTACTTGTCTATCACTCAGGCAGTTTAGACTTCAACACAGAGTAAGATTACAAAGATCATGTTTCACACCTTTCTCAGAGCATAACTTGGATCATGAGGCAGGATCAACACAATCTTTCCATCCCAAAACTCCGCAACCACTCTCTCTTTTTTCCAGCCCTGCCAAAGGAGAACAAAAGGTAGTTCATTTGTAAAGAGAAAACAAAAAACACCATTAAGTAATTTGATCTGGGGCTGGGAAGGTCGATCAGTGGTAGAGTACTTGCCTTGGATGCATGAGGCCCTGGGTTCAATTCCTCAGCACCACATAAGCAGAAAAAAACAGAAGTGGGGCTGAGGCTCAAGTGAAAGAACGCTAGCCTTCAGCTGAAGAGCTGAGGGACAGCGCCCAGGCCCAGAGTTCAGGCCCCATGACCGACAAAAAAAAAAAAAAAAAAAAGAGGGAGAACAGGTCTCAGAACAGAAAGAGCCTAGAGAAGCCATGGGAAAGTATTTATTTTCTTTCTCCTCTAGGATTACAGGTGTGGGCCACCAGTGCCAGCAGTGAGTGTTATGTTTTGATGT